CCTGACGAATAAGACGCTCGATGGCCTTCTTCAGCGTGATGCAGTCATCGGTGTTGTGCGAGGAGTTCTTGTGGAACCGGCAGTATGTGCCGCCCTGCTGGATGGCAAGGACCTCCTCGGCCGGCCGAGGAGCCTGCTCGATGAGGCCATGCTTCTCGGCATAGTCGAGGATGATGCCGACCGGGTGAGTGAGGGCAACCCCCGGCCGTTCCAACCTCGGCCGCCAGTGGCGATCTTTCTTACTCTGTCCACCAGAGCCGTGACGGCCCTGGGCACCCTGGCCGGCCGGGGACGGAGCCGGGGCCGGCGAAGGATTTGTCTTCTTGGAGGGATGGCCCCCCTCTTTCTTGTGATTGTGGAGCTCATCGGCGTCGGCGTACAAGCCTCCGCGCTGGAGCGCCTTGGCGTACGACCTCGGAGGGTCGGTGATGAGGCTCCTAGCGTACGGGGAGCTGTGGAGGGCTCCCTGATACAAGGCGAGGAGGGTGCACTCATCGGCCCCCTCGACTTCTTTGGTCTCCCTCGTCCACCGATCGATGAATGACCGGAGGGACTCATCATGCTGCTGTTTGACGGAGAGGAGGTGGGTGAAATACTTCTTCGCACGCTTCCTCCCGGCAAAGTGGGTGAGGAAACGTTGGGAAAGATCCTGCCATGAGTCGATGCTCTCTTCGGGGAGTGCGTTGAACCACTCGTACGCTGGCCCCTCGAGAGTAGAGAGGAACCAACGACAGAGGTATTCGTCTGACGCGTTCACCATCAGCATGTTGTTCTGATAACGGCTGAAGTGTTCCTGGGGGTCTTATCGGCCGTCGTAGGACTTGATGGCGTTTCCCCTGTACTTCTCCGGGATGGGGGCCGAGAGGACCCTGTTGGTGAAAGGGGTCCTGGTCCTGACCTGGATGATGGGGTCACCTCGCCCCTCGGCCAACTCCCTTTCCAGGGCGCTGACTTTGTTCATGAGCGCGTTGAGGCCGGGGTCGTTGGAGGCGCCGGCCGTAGGGATGTTGGCCGACTGCTTGGCCTCCATCTGAGCCAGCCTCCTTTCCAGCTGGGCGATGACCTCGTCCCGGGGGTCCCTGGCGGCCGCAGCGGCGCCCGGCTGATTCCTCATGCGCTCGTCGTGAGCCGCATTGATCTGGTGGCGCACGTCGTCCGCGTGCAGCTTCCCCTTGCCCTTGTCCGGGCAGGGCTGGTCCGCTGTCCGGGACACAGACCACAAGCTTTCCCTTGGCGAGCCAGGCCGACGCTCACCAATCCGTCCTGCCATCCTCTCCGAAACCGGACGACGGCGCGTGTCACCTAGCCTGTTGAAGGCAGAGGCTTTTCCACGCGCTGGGGTCTGCCCAGGCCGAAGAGGGGAAGCGGGGTGGGAGTGGGACGACGCCGTGTCTTGGGCCATCACCCCCTCATCGTTGCCTATCTGGACGGCCAACGGTTGGGGCTGAGGAGGTGGAGTGACGTTCCCCCCGGTCCTTGGCAAGAGTGTGCTGAGGACGGTGGGGTTCTGGGCCAGGCTGGCGATGATGACCGATAGCGCGGCCTGGACCTGTGGATCCACGGACGGGGAGGCCGCGGCCATAGGCTAGGCCGGGGCGTGGTCCGTCTTCTCAGCTCATTTCTTGTCCAAGCTGATGCGGGCATCAGGGGCTCCGCCGTTGAGCTTGTTGCGGAGGTCCGTCTTGAGGTTGAAGGCCTCCTGGAAGACGTCCCCTCCGCCGACCTGGTCGGCCGTAGCATCCTCCCCGTGCTCCCTGGTCTCTTGGTCCTCAGGGATGGCCTTGCTGACGAGGTTGCGGTTTGATTTAGTTCTTCCCATGATCAGTGGTTAGCTGTGCTTGGTAGCGACGAAGGGTGCTAACTTGATTGTTCTAGCTCTCAATGAGAGCACCAAATGATAGAGTATATCTAGAGAGAGGTGAGAGCTAGAGAGAGAAGTGCAATAATATGCTTCAATAGAATGAATTTTTTCACCCTATAACTACTCCCAAGGGGAGTATTTATAGAGAAAATACGGGCTGGGCTCCCAAGCCTTGGGCTTGGGAGGCCCACTTACAACTGGACCGCTACTGGGCCGAATACAAAGCCACTAATGGGCTGTACAAATGAGTAAGTGTAAAATCCGGTTCTGTGAGGTCTTCGTGGCCGACGAGGGCGTGGCCGACGAGGGCACGGCCGACGAGGGCACGACCGACGAGGGCACCCGGGTTCCTTGGCTTCAGGACCATATTCTGAGTTGGTACCCTTCCGGCCGACGGGGGTCCCTTGGCCGACGAGGGCACCACTCAGTGTCTTGTGCTTTCTGTTCTTCTGAGTATGTGGGTCCGGGGGCTCAGACCCATATACTCCATCACGCTCTTTTATGGTTTTTAAATTCAGAAGCAGAAAATCACTTTTTTAAAATTATTTGCAAACATACTCTATCAGATTTTATGGAATTTCACATATTCTATCAGATTTTATGAAATTCTATATTATAGATTGATATAGATTTCAACATATTTCGCCCAAGGTCCCAGACCTAAGCTTCAAATTGGAATCATGTTTCCTATTCTATTTGGAGACGGAAAAGTGAGCAAGATCTTCCCAAATAACCCCCAACCCTAGCTACTATTTTCTGCAGAATATGAGCTTAGAGCAGGTGATTAAACACACGGTGATGCCCAGTATTACGAATTAATTAATTATTTAATTATTGTATTTCATTAATGTACTGGGCCTGGCCTGTTTGTATAGGGTTTGTATAGTTTACTTGGATTATGATTCTTGTACTATATATATTCCTTAATCATTAATAATAGAATCAACTTCTCATCCTAATATGGTATCAGATCCAAACTCTAAAAAAGAGCAAAACCATTTTTTTCAGCCCTCACCTTCGTTCGCTTACTGCCGCCGCCACCTATTTTTTTTTACTGCCGCCGTCGACAGTTGCTATCCCAACAACCATGGTTCTCATGTCGGACTCCACCGTGATCACTATCACGGCCTCTACGCACTTTCCCATCAAACTTACTTCCTCCAACTACCCTATTTGGAAATCCCAGGTTTACGCTCTCATTGGACGTGGCCTGGAAGATTATGTGGATGGCACCCTTACCACACCCAACCGCCATCTTGACATCGGAAAATCCACTTCGAATCCGCTCTATCAAATTTGGCACCGCCAGGATAAGAGTATTCTCAGTGCTCTTCTGGCGGAAGAGTGGTACCAAATTTAGTTGGAGGAAGTAGTTGGAAGTCTGCCAAGCAGAAGAGTGTCTCTCGCTCATCTACTGAGGCAGAATATCGTGCGGTAGCCAATGCCAGTGCCGAGATTCTATGGATCAAGAACGTGTTGCATGAGTTGGGTATTATCTTGCCTTCTGTTCCTATGCTTTACTGTGATAATCAAGGCGCTACCTGTGTATGTGTTAATCCAGTATTTCACTCACGAAAGAAGCATCTTGCCTTGGATTCTTTCTTTGTTCAAGAACTTATTCGGCGTGGTCAACTACGGGTTTCACACATCTCCACCAAATTACAAATCGCAGACGCTCTTACGAAACCCCTGGGACAGTCCTTAATTGAGAGTTTTCGGTCCAAGCTTGGAGTTTCCAATGGAACCTCCATCTTGCGGGGGCGTATTACAAATTAATTAATTATTTAATTATTGTAATTCATTAATGTACTGGGCCTGGCCTATTTGTATAGGGTTTGTATAGCTTACTTAGATTAAGATTCTTGTACTATATATATTCCTTAATCATTAATAATAGAATCAACTTCTCATCCTAATACCCGGAACAAGTAGTATAGATTAACCACGGGATAGGGGAAATATGGAGCCAAAAATACGGGAGAGGAAGACCATAATGGATGAAGAAGTCAGAATACAGGTGAGGAAAAAGAAACCAAGGGGGAAAGACTGATTTAATTTGAAATCCAAGGGGGTGGACCAAATTGAGGTGGAATGTTTTCTTCATTGTTTTTTTGATAATCCCCTCACTACTGGCTCCAAAGAACGAATCCAGCAGAACTTACATCACCTTTCAGACTGCTCCTCCCACCACACGAACCCGCTACCTTCATTACCATCCTCTCCCTTCTCAGCCGCTGAACAACTCCGTGAAGGTATGAAGAATCATTGGGAACAAGACCTCCCTCATCTCCCCTAGGTGGGAAATTGAACCCAAACCTTCCACAAAGAAGAAACTTGGGGGGTGGATGGTCATCCATTGTTGGATTACATCAAACAACCTGGAATGTTTTCTTCATGTTTTTAGCACTAGTTTCCGACGCGCAATTAGGGATGGACCCGACCCAGTACCGGAACCGGACCACCACTGTGCGGTACCGGCCCATCCCGATTAACCAGAACCGGGACCGAGCCTTGGGCCCGAACCGAGGGGATTTTGGGGCAGGTCACGGGCTCAACCCCTTTTGGAACCGGCCTGGCCGGTCCAGGATCGGTCCGGGCCCAAAACGTTTTTTTTTTGTTTTTTCGAATGGATTGGGTGGTAAGCGGGTTGGGCTAGGTGGTTTGGGGGTGGGGTGCGGGCGGGGGGGGGGGGGGGGGGGGTAGAAATAAATAAGAAAAACAAAATTTTAAAAAATATATATAAGGCCCGACCCGGGCCCGGAACCTACCCGGGCCTTGAGCCGAAATAATTAGTACCGGCCAGGCCGGTACCGAGTCCCGGCCCAGCCCGGGCCCAGTCCAACCCTACGCGCAATGTGCAAAAAGAAAATGCCCAATGCTATTTCCGTAGGATTAATAGAATGAAGTATTATTGGTTAAAGTAATTAATGTGTTTGAACTTGCAAATAATTTTAAACACAATTTCCATCATCAGAAATTCAGAATGGATAAAAGCAGGGGGTTTATATAATATTTTATACATCAATATTCCCAATGTTTGTGGTGCTGCAACAAATGCTAAAAGTGGCTACGTTTAAAATGAAAGTCAAAAGAGTCTTATAGGAAGAGCATAAATAGTACTCTGTGCAACTTAAGCATTTTTTTAGCTAAGCCCATTCGGTTTTTTCACTTTTTTGAAGAATATATGTAATAACAAACCAGAGAGTTCATACATCAACAATGAATAAAAGGTTGCAAGTTTGGATAGACGTTTGACCATTTTTAGAATAGATACTTAAATGTTGAGAACATATATATCTTGGTGATGATTGGAGAAAATGAAAAACAAAACAGATACACACTCCAAACCTTGGGACACTGTTATGTTTCACAGAAACTATTAAGGTCCACCATATGAAGTAATGGGGGACCTCGTTTAGATCGTCGATAGAAACAGAATGAAGTTAGAGCATTAACAAGCAGAAGACACATCACTCAGCCTTGGAAGGGAAATGGTTCCCACCAGTGACAATCTTGTACAGGTAAAATCCAGTCATCACTGCACTGCAAAACAGTTATCACACAAAAACAACCTACTCAAAAGAGATTCCCCCAAGAACGCACAACTTTTGCCATTATTCACGCATTTGTGTGTAGTTTAGTTACCTGATCCCAGCGATGACACCAGCGGGCATTACCTTTGAAGTTGACATGTACCTTTGCCCCATTATCCATGTCAGCACCGCAGAACAAAGGGTTTCAAGAATTAAGGCGAAGTAAGAGTTCTTGCGCTTGTGGAAAGCTTGGAGGCTGAGGTAAGCTGCTAGGAGGAGCAAAGATCCAGTGCCCGCGCCTCCCCCAAGTGAACCCATGCTTCCTTTCTTGACGAACCCAATGATTCCACCACACACCAGAACTAAACCATACGGTATAGTGAAGCAAAAATCATGCATCTTCGCCAAATGGGTATCCCAAAAAAGGTTATTTTTCTAGCCGATTGTTATCAGACAACAATAATTCAGCAGTCAATGAAGGAAAGGGTTTGGGTTATCAGAACCCAGAGATTTCCCAACTTTGAAGCTGTAGCAAATACCAAGTCAAGAGCCAAAGTCCATGCTCCCTATTTCCTGAAAATTAACTTGTGTAACTTTGGCTCTGTGTATAATATAATGTACTAAGAAACGTAAATCATAAAAAATTAGGAAAATGACTTCCCGCTTTCGATGCAAGAATGTATTTCCCGCAAAAATTCAAAGAATCCGAAAAAATATTATGTATTTCCCGCAAAAATTTAAGGAATCCGAAAAAATATTATGGTTCCAAAAACATAAAATCTTTCTGAGATGATATTTGTTTGTCCCAAACATATGAAAATCAGGGGAAAAGTCAGGGAAATATTGGAGTAAACATAGCCTATGCGATAACTTACAATGGTATACTCATTTTGGAAACAAAATGAGTTGTTTCCAAACTACCTTAAGCCAGCATTACCAAAACAATAACCGATCTGGATCATATTATTGTGAGTTGTGATATATGAATGGTGTAATCATCTAGCTTAATTAAATAATTTGGTGTATCACATAAACATAAGCTTATGTTTTCATTTAAGCCATTTCAAGTAGTTAATTTAGGTTGTTCTCAAAGAAACTAAACTCCTAGTGTATATAAAATACGTCAAAATGTGTTGTTAACTTATTTTTATAAACAAGACTTCACTTCATTTACTGCATCACAGTTTTGGGAATACTTGAAAATAGATCCTCCATTTATTTGTGATATATATATTACTTTCAGCTGTCACTTTGGAGTCTAAATGATAACATGTCTTGGTACACAATAAAATAGAATAGGTTCAATGTGAAGTGACAATGTAATTTGACAGTTAGTTCAAGAAAAGATTTCAGCTGCTCATAATTGTAAAATACACCTAAAACATATATCATCACATTCTGGATCATCTTAGATATAAACATAATGGTGAATTACAAATTTGGGGGTGACATCACTCTTTATTACATAACGTAAAGCCGAACAGAATGGAAAAAGGTATAATAACATTTGAGGAAAAAATGGCAGTCATAATCCCATTTGACGTTTTACATGCTCAGGAAAATGAGTAAGTACCAAAGGTGTTCAGGGCATTATTTAAGGCATGACATTTGTTATTTGTATGTATGGAGAAACATGTGAAAGTGGAATGTTCTTATCTCACATAGGCTCTTAACATGTCAATATTGGTGAAGATAGGGAAAACTGAAATAAAGAGATAAATATAGTAAGTTAGTAACCTTTTCCGCTCAAGACAATAACACCAACATTTAGGCTGTCAGTGCACATTGATCTGAAGTTTAGATAATTTAAAATAATTTGACTAATAGAAGCTGATGAATGAGAACATGATGAACACATTACTACCTATTATCACAATAAGAGATAATTGACTCCAACAAACAACCCAGAATAAATTATATACTACATGCTTTGAACTGTTTTCTAGGTAACATACATGTGGCCATAATCTTTAAGTGCAAATGAAATCAAATTTGGGTTTGATTTTTCATCCATTTAGATGTTAATAGTCATTTATTTCTTACTACTAATGCCCTCTTTCTGATAAAGCTAATTCTTCCTTTTCCAAATTCTGGGAATTATAACTTGATATGGATGGCCAAGTATAATCATCCAACATTTGTGTTAACTTCAAGGCAAGGATGACAAGCACTCCCCATATAATGGGGAATGGTTCAGATATGTTTGGAACAAGAGTAAGAACCTCAACCTCAAGTTTTTAGTTTTTAGTTTCATGTAAAGAAAGTGAAGAAGCAAAATGCACAGCAGCTTTGGTGGTATCACAAATGTTAGTTTATTATAAAAAGTCTGGAAGAGTAAAATATCGGTTTGAGTTCATAACAGGACTACTAACTTCACCACTCAAGAAATATAGTTGGACTACTCACGGTAGAGAAATGAAGCCTGGTGGGTAATATGTAATGAATTCAAATCTAGAACCTTTGCAATAGGATTAAAATATGTGTTTTTGGTCAATGAGAATTGAAAACAAGGGAAAAGTAGCAGATACATACATCTATATTTCTAAAATAATAAGTTGGTTGTCAAAGTTTCCCTTTAATGATTTAGAATGCTGGTCGTTTTTTATTTTATCCTAATGGGCTGCTCATAGAGGAGCCTTCAGAAGTGAGGATCTATCCTAGTGGGTTGCTCATTGAGGAGCTCACTTGGTAAATAAATGAGGACAACATGTTGACCTTTTTAATAAGCTGTTGGGTTCAAATGAATACAACCAGAAGTCCAGAACCATTTACCCTTAAAATACAGCCTACGTAAATGTACTAACAATCAAATATCTAGCCTTTTAAAACTACATAAGTTGATTCTCATCAATTACAAATATCAAAATTACTGTTTAACACTACACTAATAGCTTTAAATGTCAAGCCTAAGGTTGTAGGTACAGTTAAATACTCTAAAAACAGAACCTAATTGATAATGTAGGTAGATAATCTATCTATCCATCCAGATAATAAGCTTTGATGATTTGGGTTAGACATATTCTACTCCGTATTTTATTGTGTACAGGGCCGGTCCTGAGAAAATGGGGACCGTGTGCAACAACAAAAAATCGGGCCTTTTTTCATGACAAGAAGGGTATTTCTTTGGAAACATAATTACTACCAAATACCAACTATTGAAATTCTCCCCTAATCTTGTACATGATAAAAAAAATTAGTTAAAATTCAATTTACGTTTTCGGTGTAATCATGAAATAATTATAATTTATAAACCTAAATTTACTACTTAGAATTTACTTAATAACATACTTATACCAATTTCTTAAATCTTAATTGATTAATTGTTAAACACACTTATTCTCAATTCAATTTACTTAATAAGTAATAAATTACTACAATAAATAAACAAATAACAAAAAGGCAAGTAGGCATTTAGGCAACAAACTAAAATCAAAGAATCAAAGAATCGGCCCTGTTTGCAAATCAAAGTACAAAGAATCAAAGAAATCAGAAAATCATAGTGCTTAGTTGCTTACCGGTTACTGCAGGTAGCGTGGACAGTAGACTGCCGGAAAGGTCGTTGTGCGGACTGCGGACAGGCGGTGCGGTCGTAGTCCTGGAGGCTGGAGGCGGTCGTCAACTCGTCGGCGCTTTCAGGCTTCAGCTTTCTCTTCGTTCGTTCTGTATTTCCTGAGTAATACGTAGTACTACTATTTTTTTTTTATTGGGCTTTCCAAAACTTTGGGTCTGTGCGAATTGGCTGGGTGCACCTATACTGGGCTGGCCCTGATTATGTACCAAGATCATTTGTTTGGTAATGCTGAAATCAGTCGATTGTGCTGAAATTTATAAAGTTCTAGCATTTTTAATAATCTTTTTAATAGATTTCTATTTTAACTAATATTTATTGAGAAAATTCACCAAATTGAAATAATTCTAGTTGTAGTGATTGCATTTTTAATGGTCTTTTTAATAGATTTCTATTTTAACTAACATTTATTGAGAAAATTCACCAAATTGAATCCACCAAATTATTGAAAATTATAATTAAAATGTATTTTAAAATAGCTTGAATGTGTTTTGAAAGTAAATATGTCTAAATGATATTTGATGGAGTATATGGCCCAGGGACCCCCGGCCCACATACTTCCTCTACTACAATCAGGCCCAACATGCCCAAACGGGCCAAGCCCGGAAAAAATGGAGCTCTAAGCAGCCCACAATACGCAAAGGGGTGCCTTCGGCCCCATGGCCGAAGGCTACCAGTGACGGAATCGAGCTCAGAAACATCATAGGAGGACAAGGCTTGAAAACCAAGCCTTCGGCAACTGCAGCCCTCGGCAGGTAGGAGCCCTCGGTTAGAAGAGGCATCACAGGAGATCAAGGTTTGAAAACCAAACCTTCGGCACCTGCAGCCCTCGGCAGGTAGGAGCCCTCGGTTAGAAGAGGCATCACAGAAGAACAGGGCTTGAAAACCAAGCCTTCGGCACCTACAGCCCTCGGCAGGTAGGAGCCCTCGATTAGAAGAGCCTTCGGCCCAGCACCCTTCAGCCGAAGGCATCCACCTCGACAGAATATCCTCTTCACATGCGCCTGGATCACCGTACCAAGTACAAACGTCACATCCAACCACCGCATTTAATGCGGCCACATGCGAGTGCCAGTGCCACCCCGGTTGAGGTGACCCCTCGATCACCAGAAAACTGACATTTGTCCTTATCTGGCATTTATTACTACTATAAATAGCACCCCTTTCCCCCATTGTAAACCACGACATTCATACTCAATACACTCTCTCTCTTACTTACTTGTGCTCTGACTTCTCTCTAAGTTATTCTCAGCAATAACCCCTCGGATATATACCCCCCGGGTAGACTATCCATCATTTGGTGCTCTCGTTGAGAGGTCGAATAATCAAGTAAGAAACCCCCCCCCCCCCCTTCGCCAAACACTAGCCCTCTACCAAAATGGTGAGAACAACACGTGCCAACTCCAAAAACGTAGAAGACAAGAACCTGGCCCTCGGCGACGTCAACGCCCCCGAAGCCTCTCAGAAGGCTCCCGAGGGCGGTGTCATCGTTGGGCTGGAACAGGCGGCTGTCGACCTACGCCTTCAGATCCAGCAGAATGCTCCCGATGCCCGCCTCGGCATCGAGGCCAAGAAGAAAAACTGGAGCGATGACCAAGTCAGCCCTCCGGTCCTCACCATCGACGTTCATTCGGCACTCTCCGCCTTCATCCAGACGCTAACTCAGAACCCGGGTGCCTTCGGCACCCTGGCTCCGGCTCAACCCCAGGTTGGGGAGAACATCGTACTTCCCCCTCTGCCACACCCCTTCGGAAACCCCATCCCTCGGGTCAGGAATGACGAAGGGGTAGTGGCCCAAGACACGGCCTCCCAGGAAGTTCAGTCCCGGGACCGCCACAATGACAACAGAGAAAGGCCCCACACTTCCGCCCTCAACCGGCTCGAAGGGGGGCAAGACCGCCGAGGGCCCCAAGAAAGCGGAGGGTCTGTCTCGAGGGCAGACGAGGAGCATCCCCCTCGGGACAAAGGCAAGGCACCCCTTCATGCCGACGATGCTCGCCACCAGATCAACCAGGCCCACTCGGCCCGGGTTCGTTCGCAGGGGGTGGAGACCCTCCCGAAGGACCCTCGGGACGAAATTATTGCGGCCCTCCAACGCCGACTTGATGAAATGGAGGCCGACAAAGCTCACGCCACCACCTCCACCCCTCATTCAGACCTCAAATACGAGGCCATGATGGCCAAAATGGAGGAATTACAGAAGAAGGTAGCCGAGGGCTCCGGGGAACCCATCATCCAGCTCCGGACCCGGACGCCATTCACCCCAAGGGTATTGGCGGCCCAAATCCCGGAAAAGTACCGAGGGCAACTCATCAAGCCCTATGAAGGAAAAACTGACCCCAGGAGCACTACAACAGGTATCAAAACAGCATGATGATGATGATGATGGGGGCATCAGATGAATACTTATGTCGTTGGTTCCTTTCCACCTTGGAGGGACCAGCATACGAATGGTTCAATCGATTGCCCGAGGGCAGCATTGACTCTTGGCAAGATCTTGCCCAACGCTTCCTCACCCATTTTGCCGGAAGGAAGCGCGCGAGAAAGCACTTCTCCCAGCTCCTCTCCGTCAAGCAACAGCCTGACGAAACACTTCGGTCCTTCATTGACCGGTGGATGAAGGAGACAGACGAGGTCGAGGGCGCCGACGAGCGTACCCTCCTCGTCCTCTTCCAGGGGGTTCTCCGCAGCAGCCCCTACGCACGGAGCCTCATCACCGACCCCCCAAGATCATACCTCAGAGCACTCCAGCGGGGGAGCCTATACGCCGACGCCGACGACCTCCACTCCTTCAAGAAGAACGAGGGCCAACCCTTGAAGAAGATAAACAACACGCCGGCCCCAAATGTGCCCTCGGCCGGAGGCCGAGACCATGGAAGCCACACCCAGCAGGGCCGTAACGAACGCCAATGGCGCCCTCGGCTGGACACGCCGAGGACTCCCCTCACGCACCCGGTGAGCACTATCCTCAACTATGCGGAAGAGCAGGACCTTTTCCCCAAGGACCCTCGGTCGGCGAGGGAGATCTACGCCATCCACCAAGGCGGCACTTATTGCCGTTACCACAAAAGCACCTCCCACAATACAGACGATTGTGTCTCGTTAAAGAAGGCTATTGAACTCTTAATTCAACGGGGTGAGCTCCACCAATTCATCAAAAATGCCCCAAGGAAAAACACCGGGGAGAACACCGATAAAGAAGAAGGGGACATCGCAACAAAGAAACGTGAAATCGGGAGGCTCAGTGACGGAGAGGAGTTCGAGGAGCCCCAGTCGAAGAAGCGCCACCTCCGCTAATCATGTTCCTCACCTTCGGCGTTAGTCTCAGCCTTGGGCCCTCGACCTCGAGGCACATTACCATCCCCTCGGCTTAGAGCCCTCGGCCTTGAGCGGTGAATCTTAACAAAGCCGTTGTCAAACAACGCACCCCTTGTATTCCGCTTATTTCTATGAATTTAAGTAAACTACAACACAATCCAGACATCTTATCGGCCCCTTCGAGGCCAAATGCCCAGGTATGGCCGATGGTTTCTAAAGACGAGGGGCCTGCAAAAGGCCCGCGTTTTTGGAGCGGGACGCTCACCGCGTCGCCGGCGCGCAACGCACGGCGACAGGCCTGAAAGAATGGCTGAGGTGACGAAATCCCCAAACTTGGGGGTGAAACGGCAGTCGTCGGAAAGCGACCAAGCCTAGCCCGCGCCGTAAATAGACGACGGGACCCCCCAAGGTCAAGGGACGGTTCAGCGCCGGGGGACTAACAGACGAACCCCCGGACGGATCACTTGGACCCCCTTCCGGCCGAGGCGGGGAAGCAACCCCCTCGGCCGAAGCCTAGAAGAAGGAACACACATCAAGAGGACTAACATACGACCTCCTGGCACAATCAAGGGACGGCCCAACGCCGGGGGACTAACAGACGAACCCCCGGACGGATCACTTGGACCTCCTTTCGGCCGAGGCGGGGAATCAACCCCTCGGCCGAAGCCTGAAAGAAGGAACACACATCAGGAGGACTAACATACGACCTCTTGGAACAATCAAGGGACGGCCCAGCGCCGGGGGACTAACAGACGAACCCCCGGACGGATCACTTGGACCCCCTTTGGGCCGAGGCGGGGAATCAACCCCCTCGGTCGATGCCTGAAAGAAGGAACATACACCCGAAGGACTCCCGGAACTATCAAGGAAAGGCCCTCGGCCTCAATTCGATTCTACATCACCAATGGCCCTCGGCCTTGGCATGATTCAACGTCAGAACAGCCCTCGGTCTCAAAATCAACAATGGCCCTCAGCCTCAACATCATACGGCCCTCGGCCTCAACATGACACTATGTCATAACGGTTTTGGCCTTAGCGTGATCTCACATCACCTACGGCCCTCGGCTTCAGCGTGATTCCACATCACAACGCCCCTCGGCCTCAACATCAGAATGGCCCTCGGCCTCAACATCACCAATGGCCCTCGGCCTTGGCATAACGGTTTTGGCCTTAGCGTGATCTCACATCACCAAAAGCCCTCGGCCTCAACGTGATTCAACATCAACAATGGCCCTCGGCCTCAGCGCGATTCCACATCACAACGGCCCTCGACCTCAACATCAGAACGGCCCTCGGTCTCAAAATCAACAACGGCCCTCGGCCTCAACATAAGGACGGCCCTCAGCCTCAACATCAACAACGGCCCTCGGCCTCAACGTGAGGACATCACAATGGCCCTCGGCCTCAACATAACTCTATGTCATAACGATTTTTGCCTTAACGTGATCTCACATCACCAAAAGCCCTCGGCTTCAGCGTGATTCCACATCACAACGGCCCTCGACCTCAACATCAGAACGGCCCTCGGTCTCAAAATCAACAACGGCCCTCGGCCTCAACATAAGGACGGCCCTCGGCCTCAGCATCACCAACGGCCCTCGGCCTCAGCGTGATTCCACATCACAATGGCCCTCGGCCTCAACATCAGACGGCCCTCGGCCTCAACATCAACAACGGCCCTCAACCTCAGCATAAGAACGGCCCTCGGTCTCAAAATCAACAACGGCCCTCGGCCTCAACATAAGGACGGCCCTCGGCCTCAACATCACCAACGGCCCTCGGCCTCAGCGTGATTCCACATCACAATGGCCCTCGGCCTCAACATCAGACGGCCCTCGGCCTCAACATCAGACGGCCCTCGGCCTCAACATCAGACGGCCCTCGGCCTCAACATCAACAACGACCCTCGACCTCAGCAT